ACTACTACTACTACTACTACTACTACTGCTACGACGACGACTACTACCACTACTGCCGCTGCTACTACTACTACTACTACTACTACTACTACTACTACTACTACTACTACTACTACTACTACTGCTTCTACTACTGCTACTACTACTACTACTACTGCTACTACTACTACTACTACTACTACCACTACTACTAGGGGTCCCTTATGTCGAGTACCGTTGCATTACCGCAGCGACACTGTCTCTCACGTGTGCTGTCGCTTTTGTCAAACATTGCCGTTCTTGCCAACATCGCTGTTAAGCCAATAAACCGAAAGCTGTGCCACTCTGGGTGTCTCAGGTCCAGCTGCCTGCCCAAACACGGCTACTGGGCACCTTGGTCTGAAACCTGTTGCACAGCATGCCCAGCTTTTGAGAAACTCACCTTCATTGCACGCCTCTTCCCGTGGCTGTCGCTCACTCTTCAGGAAACTCAAGAGTTGAGTGCCGGCGCAACCAGAACAACCACAGGCATCACCACTAGCGCCGACCGTTACTTCCGTCAACAGCGTCATCGACCTTTTCCTTAGCCTTACCGGGGGCATACGTAGCGGCATTGTCGTTTGGCTAGCCAGCGATGGCCAGCGTCTTCATGTTGATTTGTAACTTCGACGCCGTCGTTACCATCGCACCATCTGCAACATCATTGCTTCCACTACCGCCAGCAACGATAGAATTATCGCACCATGGCCGCCATGATCCTCACGATCGTGGCCAACACCTTCCCAGCATCGTACCGGTCATCCTTTCTTCGCAGCACACTTAGTCGCACCAAAAGCAACAGTAGTGGTTGAACGACCGGCATGAAATAGAGCAATCTAGCCCCCAATTCAAAACATTGGAGAAGTGTTTCGAGCCGGGTTATACAGCAAGTGCATTCGGGAACCCAAAAGTGGCAACAGGAATGGCAGGAGGTTGAAAAGTTGAAAGAAATGCAAGAAATAGCATCTGCGAACCCTCCTAGGAGTGTATCGTGGGTTTCGAGTTGGAAGCCGCAGGGCTTTGACCCTAAACCCGGAAAGCAAAGCGCCTTCATACCCCAAAGTCGACAGCTCTGCTCTAAGACCTTACAGCCCTAAAGTCGAAACCCTAAACCCCTAGACCTTCAACCTTGATCTTTGTTTATGGATTCTCTCGCATGCGGATTGCTCACTTCGTGGTTTCACAACAACATTCTCGTCGTCACATTGCCTCGCCTGGATCGTCCGAGTTCAAGCGCCGAAGCCCTAGGAACCGGTAAGAGTTCCCGCTGAATTCCAGCTGCGACTCAACCCAACCGGGCCCCGTACGGGTTCTACGAGAGGTCTACAACGGCTTCACGATTTATGGGGCTCGTTGAAGGGTTCCCTGAAAGGGTTCTATAGTACCCTTGTTTAGGGTTTACATTTGGGGGCCTGAAGAACTAGTCGTAGTGTTCCTTGAGGTTGTCATTCCAATTATAGAATAACTAACCTCAAAGCCCGTTCTAATTATTTAGGCCTCTATTTAACTCCCAATGGAAGCACTTGGTATTCGGGCTTGCAAACTCAACAAGAGGCTAACTGGGGATTACGGAGATCCTACGCAGTCTGGGATGGGGACGAGGCGCTTGGGCCGGAAGCCAACCCTGGATCTTTTACTATGTAAGCCCGACGATGAAGCCTTCATGCCAAATCCGCATGTGGCTTCCGAGGAGGAGAGAATTGCGAAGATCGAAGGTAAGTCTGTCGTTGGCGCCGTGTCCCAGGACACTTGCCTTGCAGGAGAGTTGTAGAAGGATCCTCCGTGGTTTTGTTCAACCCCTGGAGGGTTTAGGGCTCTTTCCGGCCCTAAAGACCCGTCACCTTCAATTTTTGAGCCTGAACTCAAGCCGGGACCTCACACCCTTCATTCCGGGTTCGATCCGCTGCTCGATGTTGGCGTTGGCTGGATAGTCTGGAGTCGCAAGTTTGCCGCAGAGCGCAGGATTCTAGGGTTGAGGTCTTTTTTGCGTTTAAGGTTTCGAGCTAAGGTTGTGTCCTCCCTTTAGGGAGTCTAGACATGTTTCGGGATGCAGGGATTAGGGCTGTCATGCTAGGAGTTCAGGGTTTACGAAGGCTTCTTCAGTAAGCACAGTAGAAGTAGTAGTAGTGGTAGTA